ATCAGTGAGGTCATATGATACATGTCTTTCTCTGATTGACTTATTTCACTCAGCATAACACCCTCCAGTTCCATCCACGTCGTTGCAAATGGCAAGATCTCATTCCTTTTGATGGCTGCATAATATTCCATTGTGTATATATACCACATCTTCTTTATCCATTCATCTGTAAATGGACATCTTGGCTCTTTCCACAGTTTGGCTATTGTGGACATTGCTGCTATAAACATTGGGGTGCCGGATCCCTACATTTGTATCTTTGGGGTAAATACCCAGTAGTGCAATTGCTGGATCGTATGGTAGCTCTATTTTCAACTTTTTGAGGAACCTCCATACAGTTTTCCAGAGTGGTTGCACCAGCTTGCATTCCCACCAACAGTGTAGGAGGGTTCCCCTTTCTCCACATCCCCGCCAACATCTGTCGTTCCCTGACTTGTTAATTTTAGCCATTCTGACTGGTGTGAGGTGGTATCTCATTGAGGTTTTGATTTGGATTTCCCTGATGCCGAGCAATGTTGAGCACTTTTTCATGTGTTTGTTGGCCATTTGGATGTCTTCTTTGGAAAAATGTCTGTTCATGTCTTCTGCCCATTTCTTGATTGGATTATTTGTAGAACACTAGTTTTGAATGGGTCTTATCAAAGTCATGAGACTAATGGTGAAGTTGAGTTTAATGTTAAGCTTCCCTGGGTATGAAGAGGTTGGTGACAGATCAATGGTAAAATCTAACAGAAATGATGGGAAAAATGTTAGAAGTAGCTAATTATCTGTAAAGACTACTTTTTAAATTATTATTATTTGTATTATGTTATATTGGTCACCATACTCTACGTCATTAGTTTTTGATGTAGTGTTCCATGATTCATTGTTTGTATATAACACCCAATGCTCCATGCAATATGTGCCCTCCTTAATACCCATCACCAGGCTAACCCATCCCCCCCCAAAAAGCCCTCAGTTTGTTTCTCAGAGTCCATAGTCTCTCACGGTTCATCTCTCCCTCCGATTTCCCCCCCTTCATTTTTCCCTTCCTTCTCCTAATGTCCTCCATGCTCTTCCTTATGTTCCACAAATAAGTGAAATCATATGATACATGTCTTTCTCTGCTTGACTGATTTCACTTAGCATAATCCCCTCCAGTTCCATCCATGTCGATGCAAATGGTGGGTATTCATCTTTTCTGATGGCTGAGTAATATTCCATCGTATGTATGTACCACATCTTCTTTACCCATTCGTCTGTTGAAGGGCATCTTGGCTCCTTCCACAGTTTGGCTATCGTGGACATTGCTGCTATAAACATTGGGGTACATGTGCCCCTTCTTTTCACTACATTTTTATCTTTGGGGTAAATACCCAGTAGTGACAACACTTAATGAAAGTTTTGGCTGGTTTTCTACAAGCAACCCATTTTTAATATGCAAATGTTTATTTTAATGTTAAGTATTTCCATATTTAAAGTTTTCTTGAAATTTGGTGGCGCTCCCCAACCCCCACACTCCTTTTTTAGAGATTTTGAAACTTCAAGACTGAGGAATTCATAGAGGCAAGCAGGTGCCCTTACTTAATACATGCTCCCCTGTAAATTCTTGGCCAAAGCTTCCAAGGCCACTTTAGCATAAGACACTAATGGAGGGGTTTTATTTTAAGGAGCTGGTGCACCCATATCCCATTTGTGAGTGTTAGCTACTATCAGCCTTCAGGCTGGACTTTAGCCAAATCATCTTCTAGGCTGTGGGGCTGGGTGCCTGCCAGCTATATTTCCTGACTATTTGGCCAACTGTGCTCTTGTTAAGTTCTGCCAGTGGGAGGTGCTGCTGGGAGTTTAGAAGAAAAGGGGAGAGAAGAAGCATTTCAAGGCCGGGACAGATCAAGATTCTAGCAGCCCCAGCAGTGGAGAAACCCCTACAGGTCAGTAGCTCAAATTAATGGACCTGAACAAATTCCTGATTTCAGACTGTCTTTTATTCTTTCTCTCTCTCTCTCTCTCTTTTTTGATCTTCTAACAATTCCCATTCTTTTTGCTCCTCCACCCCTTTAAGCATCATTGAGAACATGTTCTTATATTAAATTCCCACTGTTTAAAATACACAGAGCAGTATTCTTTTCTCCCAACTGGATCCAGACTAATAAAATAGCTGATATTTATACACCGCCTACTATAAGCCAGAAATTTTGCACATGTGAACTCATTTAACCTTTAAAACCAACGTGTGAGTCACTGTTATTTCATAGATGAGACACTGAGGCACAAAGAAGTTTAGTAATATGATTAAGATAAGATGGCCAGTGAGTGGCACAGCTGGGATTTAAACCTAGGCAGTTGGGTAGAAGAATTCATATCCTATCCTATGTGTTAAGGCACATTATGTTCTTCTTGGTGTTAGTTTTCTGCTATCCATCTATTATGGACTAAATATTTGTGTCCCTGCAAAATTCATATGTTGAAATCTTAACCTCCAGTGAGATGGTAATAGGAGGTGGGTCTTTGGGAGGTGATTAGTTCATGAGGGTGGGGCCCCCATGAATGGAATTAGTGACCTCATAAAAGGCACTCTCTTGCCCCTTGTCCCATGAGGACATAATATGACAGTCTGCAATCTGCAAGAGGGCTCTCACCAGAACCCAGGATGATGGCACCCTGGTCTTTGACTTCCAGCCTCCAGAAATGAGAGGAATAAATCTCTGTTGTTTATAGCCCCTCAGTCTGGGTACTTTGTTATAGCAGCCTGAACAGAAAAAGACAATGCCTGGGTGGCTCAGGTCATGATCCCAGGGTCCTAGGATTGAGTTCCGCGTCGGACTCCCTGCTCCGCGGGAAGCCTGGTTCTCTCTCTATCCCCCCACCCCAACTTGTTCTCTCTCTCTTTCTCACAAAAATAAATAAATAAAAATACTTAAAAAAAAGACAACTCCTAACATTCCTTCAACATTGGTAAGTATGTGTAACTCATAGGATATTTAAGTCTTTTGTGTGGATTTACTGTATTTGCTTTCATGCATTCAGCTTTATTTGAAATCTCAAAGAATATAATGCTGGCTTAACAATTAAAGAGTTCTTCATGCTCAGAATTTTATTGGCTGAAGTAAATTAACTTCCTTACCATTGAAGCGATGAAGTGAAATAGTATTGATAATCGTAAGGGAGTATGTTAATTATTTCTTTTGGTGTCAATTTCTTTAGAGACTGACATTCTGCACAAATGAAGGAATAAATGTTAAACCACAGCAATGTGGATAGTTTGTGTAATCAATTTGTCTGTCATCTTTATCAGTCAATTTTTTGATCCATTTCTCTTCAGCCCTATTTTTCTTTCTGACATGCAGTAAATTTTTAGGTCACCAAGGACTTTATACTCTTTTAAACAGTAATGAGGATAGTATAAGGGGTTAAGTTTATCAAACTTCTAATATCCCATTTAGTAAACTATACTCGCCTGTGTCCGTGATGAACAAAGTTGGCATTACATTTTTTTTAACCAAGTACAATGGTTCTATTGCTAGCTCCAGTTACTAAGTGGAAAAATTATTTACACTTTCTGTTCCTCATTTTTCCCACCTGAAAATGAAGATAATAGGGCCATCTCATAGGGTTGATGCAATGATTAATTAAGATAGAATATATAAAACACTTGCCTGGGCTGCCTTCCATCCTTCCTTCCTTCCTTCCTTCCTTCCTTCCTTCCTTCCTTCCTTCCTCCTTTCCTTCCTTTCTTCCTCCTTTCCTTCCCTTCCTTCCTTCCTTCCTTCCTTCCTTCCTTCCTTCCTTCCTTCCTTCCTTCTTCATTATCCTCACTAGGTCCCACAAACCTCCATTTAAGACATGCCTCCAGCAGACTCCATCTAGTAAACAATTTCAGTAATTACTGACCTCACAACCACTACACATTTGTTCTGGACTTCAACTTGTTAGAATCCCAATGCCCAGGAAGCTTGGTTACTATACACTTACTGCTGATTTCATTGTTTTGCTGTTTCAGTACTCCTGTTTGCCAGCAAATGTCATAAGAACATTCACACTGTCACAGCTGGGTGATCGGAAGATGATGGAGCATTATTCTCCTCAGTCACGGGATGGCCAAGGTAAGAACTATTCTAAGCACACAAGCACTGAACAGCATTTCGTTGGAGAATTACCTGGGTGAGTATACAGCTATCCAGATACTCTATTTTTGCTTCAATCTCTGTAAAGAATATAGTTTTTTACCCTCTGCTTAAAGAAGGCACTGACAACTCTATTATCCCTACATATTAGAAGTGGCATAAATAAAAGCAGTTTCAAGCAGTTTTGAAAACCACCAAAATGAGAGCATGAAAGTGTAGAGGACTCATTCAACCCTAAACTGCAAGACCTTTGTATTTTACAGCATTGGGATAAAGCTGAGTTTATCCTCCCTTAGGGGAGAAAAGCCCAGGGAAGCTCATGTCAGGATGAACATTATATTTCTCAACTTGTGTCTCATAAACATATTTGACTGATAATTTAAATTAATGAGGCAGTAGGAAAACTTCACTTTGCATTGGAAATGGATCAGAGAAACACCTGATTCAGTAGGAAATGAGGTTTAATAGCTGTGAACATAAACCATATCACTATAAAGGTCAGAAGAGTGTTTTCTCTTCCCATAGCAAATAGAATAAAAAAATCAGTAAAGGCATCATTTTGATATTCCTAGATCATGCCATAAAGAGGAAGAAACCTTGGCCATAAATACTATGTGTTTTTAAGAAATTTATTTATTTGAGAGAGAGGGCATGAGCAGGGGGAGGGGCAGAGACAGAGAAAGCAGATTCCACACTGAGCAGGGAGCCAGATGAGGACCTGAGGCTCCATCCCAGGACCCTGGGATCATGACCTGAGCCCAACGCAGATGCTCAACTGACTGAGCCACCCAGGTGCCCCAAGTACCATGTTTTTAAAAGTCACCTTCTTTCTGACCTGGAACTAAAAAAGGATTAATGTTATTTACAAAGATACCTAATATACGTAGAAGGAGAACTTTTTTTTAAAAAACTGTCAGCATATATTAAAGGAATGTGAAACTCTTAAAGAAAACATTTAAATTTGTTTTGCTTCATTTATCTTAACCATTTTGTTAAATGTTTTTGAATTTTCTCTGTTGCATATGCTGAAGAGAAGTATTCAGAACCTAGAAGGTTGGTTTGATGCAAAATAAAACTACAATCTATGTAACTACAATAGTTAGTCTATTTTGTATTTAGGAAGAATCTGAAATAATAAGAAACATTGTTTAAAGATTGCCTTGATAACTTGAAAGGTGAAACAGAAAGGTTTTCCTAAATTAACCTGAAAAATGATCTGTTTTAAAACTCTTCCGTGTGTAATATAAAATGACACATCCAATTAAGTTAAATAAAAAGAAATAAAAATATGCCAGGGTTCTACTTCCCTAGTCTTAAAAGTCAGCCACTTGAGCATAACCGGCTTTAGAAGTTCAATCAGCACATGAGCTTGATTGGTTACTTCTGACCTGAAGACCAACATAATTAAGAGAATATGAAACTCATTTCAGTATTTCTTCCCCTGTATCATAAGCTTGAATGAAAGAGCAAAACCTTAGGTGAGACAAGCATCCTATCTGGTTTTGAAAAATTAGCTATCTGCCCCTCAGATCATAGGCATTATTTCTGTTTTAAGCACCTGAAGATATTTCAGTAAATCATTAACCGAACACCAGTGAAATGGAATTTATCCATTAATGTAAGAGATCTAATGGTGTCCCACTTGATATCGACTAGTCAAAAGAGGCAGAAATTCATCAACATATAAGCTGGATGAATTGCTCTTGACCATGCCTTAGTTTAACCAATTGGGATCAACTACCTTCTGTGTTTTTATCTTTAATAATTTTGAACCCTAATCTTCAGAATCATAGGACTTAAGGAAACTCTAAACTTCTTGCTTTCTTTCCCCCATTTTCCTAACTTGGGATAAATTGTACTATGTATCCCAGTGCTCAGACTTTAAGAGGTAAGATCTTTGATCCTTTGTTGATTGACCTCCTCCTTCCTTGGCTTGTGTCTCCATATTCTCACTATGGTTCAGGTCTTTTGCACTTTTTTCTTCCCAGTAGTTAACTTGATATCTCAATTTCTATTCCAGATCATTTTATTTTATTTTTTTTGGAATATTTTACTTATTTCTTTAAGATAGAGTGAGAGAGAGAGAGCACGTGGCGGGGGGCGGTTAAGGGCAGAGAAAGAGGGAGAATCAGGCTTCCCACTGAGCAGAGAGCCTGAGGCAGGGCTTGATCCCAGGGCCCTGAGATCATGACCTGAGCCGAAGGCGGATGCTTAACTGACTGAGCCACCCAGGCTCCCCCTACCCTAGATCATTTTAGATTTGGTTCAGATATAAAGAGGGTTTGGTCAATTTTTACTTTGAGCCATGGACTTTCTTTTCCCTTTAACTTCTAGCCACACCTGGAAAGAGAACTCCAAAGTGTCTGGCCTTACAATTTAGAAATGGCAAACATCATCCTCTCCAAAGCATTTGGTGTGACTTTATTTAATGGAGAATCACCTCCAGATTTTGTCTTCCCTAAACTATTTCGTGTTCTTTCTTTTTTTTTTAAAGATTTTATTTATTTATTCATGAGAGAGAGAGAGAGAGAGAGAGAAGCAGAGAGAGAAGCAGGCTCCCAAAGAGCAGGGAGCCCGATGTGGGACTCGATCCCAGGACTCTGGGATCATGACCTGAGCCGAAGGCAGACGCTTAACCATCTGAGCCACCCAGGCGCCCTATTTCATGTTCTTTCAAGGGAATCTAGTCTTTGCTTGTTCTTCTTTTCTAATCTCCCACTTTTCTTCTGCTTTCCTTACATTCTGTTCATAATAGGTCTCTCTGTTTCTCTCTGTCTCTTTCTCCCAGGAGGCTCAACTCAACTCCATCAATGGTCAGAAAACTATGTAAATAGTATAAGAAAGGCTTTTATTGTTCTTCTCAATGGGACTGCAACCCAATCTTTCCATCTATAGGATAATGTACAAACAACTATCACAAAGTCACATTAACTTGGAGCATGGAAAGAACATTGGTGTAGGAGTCAGCAACACAAACATAGCTCCAGCCGTTACTCCCCTGACTTGTGACCCTGAGGAACTTAAGGCTTCTACATATTTTCAGCTTGCCTGTATATAGCATTGGAGTAATAATGTCATATTGCTCATCCTTTAAGGTACTTTGGAGTATTGACTGAAATAAGGCATAGAGAGCAATTTGTTAATCCTAAAAGCTAAACAAATGCAAGTTATTATGCTTATTTTATTATTTGCTTTATTTCTTTAAATTGTAAGCACAGACACAGCAGGGAGTTTCTTTTGTTAGTTCTTTAATAGCCCCTAGGAAATTCATAGAATTCAACAAATTTCCAGTCATGGAAGTTAGCAGATGTTAAAGGAAATCATTTAAATCACTCCTCTCATTATGAAAATACACATTCTAGTATGCTTAGCTTTCTGTAAAATTACAGTAGCAGTGGTTATGAAATAACCAAGAATGGCTTTCTATATATGTGTTTAGAAAGTGAGGCTGAGAAGGCTTATCTAGGGATAGCAGAGTGGTATCAAATGTAAGTACAAAGCAAAAGGGAGAAGCGATGATGTTGTCATACTCTTCTGGCCTCATTACTCTGGAAGAATTTTCTTTTCCTTAATGCAAGTATGCAACTCTCTGAATGTTAATGAAAGTGGTGTGTGCCCAATGAGGGGAGAAAAGAGCTACGATTGAAAACCAACACCAATGAAGCACATTTAATGAACTGGTCTTATAGTTTTATGCACTACTTCTTTAAAATTCTGACTTTTTATTTATTTATTTACTTTTCTTATGTTATGTTAATCACCATACATTACATCATTAGTTTTTGATGTAGTGTTCCATGATTCATTGTTCGCATATAACACCCAGTGCTCCATGCAGTGCATGCCCTCTTCAATACCCATCACCAGGCTAACCCATCCCCCCACCCTTCTCCCCTCTAGAACCCTCAGTTTGTTTCTCAGAGTCCATAGTCTCTCATGGTTCAAACAAGTTATTTCTTCCACTTGAAGCAGGGTCTATTTGGGGCCTAGAAGAAGTTCAAGTGGAAGAAATAACTTGTTTGAAAATTAAAGGGTGAATAGTTTCCACTGCAAACAAAAACTTCTGGTCTTGGAGCTATTTTTGAAAAGTCACAATTCTGGTGATAGAGCAACATGGGAATGTGACCAGCAGTGGTTCTTCTGAAACACTGTCACATGCACCAAACATTTCTTGTCCAAGTCCAGTCCATGTTTTTGTGCTTTTTGTTGCATTCTTGTGTTTGGAGAGTGGATTGACCATCATAGCTGGCTGAGGTTTTAGTCGATTATAAGATCATTTATTTTTCCCTTCACTGTCATTTTGGATTTCTCTACTGTTTGGAAAATGCCAGTCAATATGGCATCATCCAACATTGGCATAATGGGACCCAGAGTCCTATTCCAAAATTTTACGATATTATAGTAATCGACCGTATTTCAAAAGCTTGTAATGGAGAACCATCAATTTGATCTCTTCTCAATGATTCAGCATATCACTGGGCCATCTTCTTACAACCTACCTGGAATATGGCTAGGAACATCACTTCACTTTAAATTATATTAGGCAAAGTTAGGAAAGTCAATAATATATTGGAAATATATCGATGCTTATGTTTTCTACTCTTTTAGATAAGCTATGTCATGTCTCTTCCTTCAAGTACCATGGATACTTGAGAGATGAATGCCATCATGTTTACACCAAAAGATACATTTAGAAAAAGGATGAGAGCACTGGGTGTTATACACAAACAATGAATCATGGAACACTACATCGAAAACTAATGATGTACTGTATGGTGACTAATATAACATAAAAAAAAATAGAAAAGATGAATACCAGCATTCATGAGGTGGTGATTCTTTAAAGCACTTTTTCTTAAAGGATGATGTTAGACCACCCATATCAGAGTTATCTGGATGCTTTTAAGAAGATGTTTCCTGGTCACGAATTCTGCAATTCTATTAAGTAGATAAGAGAGATATTTAAAGACTTTAGATTA